AACATGATGTACTTTTAAATCAAATATTGGAAATAGGCATAGTTTACATCATTTTCTTTCTTGTCTAAATTTACAAAATCTGTTCGGCGGATCTTGAGATAGCATTTCCATGCTACACCCCTATTGTGTGATAAACTAATAGCTTATATGCTGTATAAATAGTAGATGTGGAATTTTCCTCCATGAATGATGACAGTAGAATCTTCATCGACATAAGATATGATGATTGGATGATGTATTGATACTAAAGATAAATTTGTATAAAAATATAGCACCTTAAAAATCACTGTAATTAATTTAAATCATAATCATAAAGTTGATCAATCAAATTTAAAATTTTATGCTCGTCACCGTCGTTTGGATAATGACACTATTAAATTAATAAAAGAATATGATAATCACAAAGTTCCTCGAAATATTATTCGTGGCATGGTTATGAATGAAAATAAAGACAAGTTCGCCACTGTAAAAGGTAATGTTTTTAGAACTGGTTTTTAGGTTACAGTAAGACTGTCTGTTGCGTATGTCGAGACACACTTCAGTCAAAAAAGCATTCAACCTGGAGGAGAATATAGTCCTAAACAGATTTTTTAGATGTAAAATAGCTGCCATGTAGAGAATGAAATATAAATCGTGTTAAATTTGCTGGAACCATAACAGATCATGTGAACACTTTAAATCTGCTTTCGAACTATCTGATAAACTGAGATGACATTTCTCATCAGAGGGAGTTAAAATCCTAGAAAATATTTTAGTTTGTAGAGAAATGAGTGTCTTTCTATATAAATTCTTTAGAGCTTGAAAACATTTAGAGGTAATTCATAAGTCAACAGGAATTGTTGAAAAGCAGATTTTCAGATAGCTTTTATAAAAAACTTATGGGAATATTAATCGCTTCTCATGTGTACTTTATGACGAAGTTTTAAAATCGTTTTAAAATGACATATCTTACTCAGAATTGAGCTCTCTATCGCATGAAGTGTGACTCGGTATCTGCGAAAAATCAACTATAAAGTCTGATACACTATCGATGAAATTACCTTTAAAGACATTTCAAACATTCTAAACAAAACGACAACAAACAACGTACCGGAGCAATCAACTGTAATTGAAAAAATATTGAATGACATGAAACGTTTAGATTCAACAGCAACCGTTGATGTCACTGTGTCAGATAATAATCAGCTTGATATGATATTTATTGCAACATCTAAAATGAAAGAAAATTTTAAACAATTTTTTCATATTGTATTTTTTGACGCGACTTACAAGATTAATATAGAAAGCTATTCATTATATGTATTTTTAGTTGAAGATAGTCGTGGTACAGGTATGCGCGTACACACCACTAAAGTCTCGTAATTTAAAATGCCCAAAATGGTCTTTTGAAAGATTATCCGTCTATTTAAGGAGAGTCGATCAAGTATTTTTTAACGGAACATCTGACTGCTCCCACTTCAGGAGGCATACATAGTTAGTCTTAGTAGTTAAACCTACCGAAAATTTATTGAGTGGTAAAAGTTAGCTTTTTAATGATGTCTTGTGTCGAGCTTCAAATTGCTATGTGTTGAAATCTTTGTTTGAGAAGGGTATTCTCAAATTTGTTGTAAATCTATATCAGACTAGTCTGCCCTCATTATACAATGCCTTATTAGAACTAAACATCATGCATTTACTGGTTTTGTGATTTTTTTCAAGGGCAACCAGTTGGAATAGCGTTATTAGCCCACAAATCACAAGAAAATATACGTGAATTGCTATCAAAATTTCAACAAATATATCCAGGTAAAAAGATGAGTTATGACTCAAAAATGATGCACATGTACGAAGCCTAGTAACGTATTTATAAAACATAGTCAACAACCCCACTGTATACATCGTCTAAGTAACCTAAGTTTGAGCATATTTTTGTCTTTTTCACTTTTTGCCATATAGAGTATGACAAAATTAATACATTTACGGCTGATAAGGACTTCAATGAAATAAAATTAATCATTGAATTATTTTCATCATCAACAGTTTTACTCTGCTACTTTCATATTGTTAAAAAATTGAAGGAGCAAATTGCAAAATTGCCGATTAATATTGATGAAAAAAAGAACATTAGATTCGTCAAAAAAATTGATTTATAGTCAGAATCAAGCAGAGTTTGACAATAATGCTTACGATTTGCGCCAGACTGCTTTAAACATCACCTATTGGACATATTTTGAACAAAACTGAATGACATGCACAAATTTATGGACATTTTTCAAACGAAAAGATTCTTTATCATTAATAAATAATATAAATAATCGTATTGAATCTTTTTTTCGTGTAGTTAAACGCGAATTTAGACGACGTAATAAAATACCACATTTAAGCGAAGCGTTAAATATTTTAATGATGCTTTTTAATTTGAAAACACATATTCAAGATTTTGAAAATGTTCGTCAAGAATTAACATCTTTTACAATACAAAATACAAAATATCCTGAATTTATGAAAGAGTGTGTACATATTTTGACGGATAAGACTATTTCTTTGTTCGTTGCATTGAATGGTGCGGACTACAATGTTTTTTTATATCAGCTGGACTGTATATAGCAGTGATGCCGAGCCACTCAATTAGAGATAGAAATTTTGTTAATTTCGTTAATTCTTTCCAGAAAAAAATTGAGAGAGAAAATATAAAACACAGAGCTCGGGGACATCTCATTTTGTAGAGAATTGTTTGCTCTACCATTCTACGTAGTTTGAACAAAATTTTATTCGCAGGTTATAGGTGCTGAAAAACTACAGTGGTTACAAAATTGATCAACTGGGTGTATTTTCGATTTTTTTCCGCGGCCATAAACTCTAAAAAAGATTCAGATAGTGACTTGAGTAGAGAAAATTGTTTCCAACTAGGATTTGAGAAACTAAAAATCATCACAAGACCCCCGATAATACAGTTTTCTAGCAAAACCCAAACCCTAATTTTCCAGCACCTAGTACTTGCGAATACAATTTTGTTCAAACTACGTAGAATGATAGAGCAAACAATTCTCTACAAAATGAGATGTCCCCGAGCTCTCTACGACGTTTTTTGGTCGAACTATATCAAATTTACGAAAAGCCCAAAATAGGACTTTTTCAGGTCGTTCAGGCATTGATATGGGTAGTAGACATTATTGTCGTTATATACCATACAATAGGTTATCAAGATGTATCTTGCCTATTGGTAGAAAAATATTTACCGAAAAAAATCCAGTTTTTGTGATTTTTCAAAAGTCATCGATTTTGTAATTCATCTTTTTCGGAGATAAACCAACGAAACAAAATACCTTTTTTACCAATCGATGGCTTATGAAATTCGCTATAAGACATCTACCCAAAGTTTTTGAATTCCATGCTTTCTTAATTTTTTGCCATCGATCTACAAATGGTCACTCCAGTGACCAAGGGGGGGGGAGATAAAGGGTTAAAATGCTGAAGATGGGCTTTTGAAACATTGCATAAATATAGTAGCATTCACAAATTTTTCAAGTTCATATTCAAATTTAGATTTCTGGAAGACGTAATTTTCTAGAAAACCTTTCAGACTACAAGCACACTTTAGAATCTTCTCAATCATATCATTAGATAGTACCTTCAATTCTCTACAAAATCACATGTCAGCCAAGTTTTTCTCAAGACGGAGAAGACTGGCATATATTTGTTTCATTTAATTGGATACAATGGTAGATTTTATATATTGATTTAACTGTGGTGACAGAGTCTGCACTCTATAGGTGGCATACCTAGCAAAATAAAATAAAAATGTTTATTTTGTCCTTATTTTAGCAAAGACTATAGA